TTCTTATAGAAATATGCTATGAGAAAATTATTGTTTTGATGTAGTGTCCATATTTAAATCCAAAATATTCACAATTGAACCAGTTAATCAATGAAAGTATAGAAAAATGCATGGAATTGGCATCAATTTTATTAGGTTAACAATATGTATGTATGTATGTATGAGTACATACATACATACATATATAAGGCTTTGATAGCCTAGTGGTTCATATTCCTTTTAGGGAACCATGTGATCCTGGGTTCTAATCTTTTAAGACCACCCTTGCCAAAATTATTTCATTGCCAATGTCGCTAGTGGGCATTCCGATGGTTAGTCTGCTAGTGATAGGGACTATTCAAAGCTCTGATGAGTGGTGGTTGGTCAAAGCTATGACAATCGGTGGTGGTAAGTCCTTTTTTTTTAAAAAAAAAAAAGAAAGGCAAAACAAGGATATTTTAGTAATTTAACATAAAAAATATTTAAAATAATAAAATTGGGACTTGAAAGTATTTTGTACGGTTTATGAAGCCTCTTGGTAATTAGAATATGTGCAAGGGACCTTAGAGTGATTTTTTCCAAAATATTATGCATGAGTTGAATTGAATCAAGCAAAACCCCTTGTAATGATCTGTAAAGAGTAAAACTTGTTATAAAATTTTATATTTTACTTTCTTCGATATCTATTACTCCTTCTATTGTAAATTATAAAATACTTTTAGATAAAATTTTATATACTAATAAATTTTATTAACTACATTTAACAATCTTATCTTTTTAAAATATAAATATAAATTTTTAAAAATATTCATCATTTAATATATTAAAAAAAAAGAGACGAAAATATAATTTTGTCTGAAAATATAATAAACTTTTAATTTTACACATATTCAAAAGAAAGTTTTTAAATTTACATTATATTCTCTCTCATAATTAATGAATTTAAATAGGAGCCGTATTGAGAAAATGTAATTAATATATCATCAAGTGCCTTATATTAACAACAAAAAAATTCTTCTAAAAAGCACTTTATTCCTAAGATCGAGCATATTAATAGAGTAATCAACAATAACAACGACTAATAAGTAAGACTCCACAAAGAGTAGATTTTTGGGATTACAAGGAAGCTAGCATGCAACATATTTAATCGCTGGGTTTGCCTTTATGGGAGAACATATGTCGTCGGCGTGGGAATCTCGGGTAGCTAGAACATGGAAAGTTAAAAGGCACAAATTCAGCAAAAGCCACCATTCCAATATTACTTGTCGGAGAAACCCTGGCTGACCAGTGACCATTATATCTTATTTTACTCAATTCAACGCACATAATTAACCTTTTTTTTAAATAAAAAAAACGAAATATATGTGCGTCTTCCTGTGCTAACCTTTATTGACCATTTCGAGAGTAGTCCTCTCCCTCAATCTCCTCACACAGCTTTTCTCATGTAGCTGCGTCGGCATATAACCTCGTTTATGATTAGCTTGGACGACTAATTCCTCACCTTGGCATGATTTAACATAAAAGCTGAAAGGTATATCTAAAGTCAGTGTATTATTATGATGCTATGTCTCGGAAGATAATTCGATGATGACTTGCTTTTAACGCCTGAAAATTAACTTTGCTTAATTAAAGCCCGAATCATTCTGACACACACAGCCTCCAAATATATCTGCTATCTCTGGTTTAATCATTTTATGCCTGCCTTGGCGGCAGATCCTTTAGCAGTTAATTTTCATGGATGTGAGTGTGAACATGTTGTGAGTTAAGCATCTTGGTTATTGTCAACGTCAATCTTACAACTAATACCTTGCTTTTAATCAAGTTTCGCCCTTAATTATGATTATGTGAACCATGCGTCCCCACCTCTTCTTTTCAAATACGATCATTTTATCTTCACTTAGCTTGTTCTAGATTCTACCCCTCATATTTCTTGCCGTTAAACATGCATTGTCATATATAGTGTGAAAGAGGCGGTAAATTCTCATTATACATATATATACTTTCTCATACATTCATTGGCGGAGTCAGGACCCTTACTCGAATGTGCGATATAATTAAAAATAAATAATTTTAAAAATAAAATAAAATAATTAATAATTAATTTCATATCTTATAATTGTGATTTCACATTTAAAAAACATTGAATATGAAATTAAAAATAAATATATTTTTAAAAAATTGTTATGAACATTTTTTATTTGATATATGAAAATAAAAAAAATAATGGCATATTCAATATAAAATTAGTGAGTTTAAAATTTATATTTAAAGTTTATTAGGTTGTGATTTAAGTTATAACACACACATATAGTACATATAAAAAAACTATTTAAATAAAATATATTTTGATATGAATTAGGAACAAATGACTTCAAATAATAGTAAGTGTAAGGTGTGTAAAATATCAAGAACATGAAATATAAAAATTTAAATCTTACAAGATCTAATAGTAAAATATAGTATCTGCATTTTTTAATGTAAAATAAATAGAAATAATGTGATTGTAAGTGTTTTTTTTTTTTTAAGCAAACACAGCAGACTAGCCAAGTGAGAAGCACAATTCCAGCTTTCTCTTCCTTACGTGACAGAATTATCAACACTTGACTATTCCTAATTTCTCTATCCATGATCATGCCTCTTATATATACACATTAATTACCACTAGTTGAGGGGATGTAATTAATATCTTAAAACTTTAGAAAAGCACAAAGGCATTAGAGCACTGGAGTGTATTAAGAGCCCCAAATCCAAGTCCATAGTAGAATGAGAAACACCATAGCCAAAGTCGTGCGTTGAACAGTAGTGTTAGTTGTGCATGTGGCATCTGATTGGAAAATTTAGATGTTACACCCTCTGATTTAAATATAAGCAATTTTTTTTAAAAAATAATTCACATATCAATAAAAATTTTTTTATAAAAAAATATATATTATTTTTTTTTATTCTTAATCTCAATTACCAATATATTTTACATGATGAGTGAGAGATGTATTTACATAAATATCTAAGTTAATAAATATAAGTGATAAAATAAAAATATATATGTATTAAATTGTTTATATATTGAATTAAAATTAACTAGGAAAAAATGATTATATTTAGATGCAAATGAGTACAATACTAGTGTACGCGACGCGTGTGCGTGTATCGAATCATAATTAGAATTGTAACAGTGATTTTCAACGCCAACTAAGGCGAACAGGGGTATGAAGTATGAACAGCCAAAGAGGACCATATGTGTGGTACAAGAGTTTTGACTCTTTTGAATTGTTTTTTAGCCTCCAACACACACAAACCCACCAACTCGGTACTGCCTTGATGCAGTTATGATCATCGTCGTCTTCCTCACTTCCTCCTCCATCTTCATCTGACTTTTTACAGCGGGTCTTGCGTGCAATTTTGGAGCAGCTTTAATTATTCTCATCCTTGACTCTTCACTTACCTTTAAATGCTTCAATTAAATCCCCCTTAATTAGTAGTACACTCTCTCACTTTTGCTTTGCCTCCAGCTACTTACACTATCTCATACTTAATGCATATTTAATTATGTCTTCCTCATCTCAATCAATACCATCAATATTAACACTATTTTTATAATCTTATTTATAAGTTATTTTGAACATAATTTATCATAATTAAGGAAAATATTAAAACCTGTAAACTATGTCTAAAAATTTATTAAGTTTTATTGAATATACATATTTTAATAATATGCTTCCTCTAGTCCTTAATATGAGTCAAACTTTGAAAGTTTATTTGAGTTCTTGGTATAAGGCAAAGTTAGAGTAATTAATTTATTTCCCAATAATTTTACCCTCTTCTTGATTTATTATGGTTTGAGTTTATAGACAACAATAATTAAATATGCAAAGAAGTGTGAAACTGGAAAACATATATTTTTTAAAAGTGTGAAATTGGTTAATTTTACCTTTATTAAGGACCGGAGTAAGTTTCTCCCACCAATATTTAATTTGGGAGTAAAAGAAAAAATTTTATTTAAAAATTTAATAACATGACTTATAAATAAAAGTTCTTGTATCTTATTTTTATAAATAGTGCCAAGGGGAGTATATAATAAAATTGATTATGAATAATATATAGGAGGATTATTTATAAATCATCAGTAAGATGAATTATCTTAATTAAACTCTGTGCACCTGTTAGTTTGACAAACTTTCATCTATATATGAAATCACTCAAACAAAATGCAGAATTTGGGCTGAACGATATGTGACAAGTGTGATGATCCAAAAGGGTAAGGCCATGCAGGAAACAATACAATGATCTGCATGTACTGTTAGATGATCATAAAAAGAAGCATGGAGTTATGGCAGGCTTGACTGTAGAGCAAAAAGATGACCTTAAAAGCAATATTATTGTACTCAGAGGCCCTACCCTATAATAAGCTGCGTTCGTACATGTACACACGCGCCTCTCCCCAATAATGCGAATTATGTATGGGACACCCAATTTCAGACTGTTTGGAGTCCCCAGCACCAAGATATATTGCCAGCCTTACAAATCCAGTTTACACACACACACACACACTTGTATATATAGACAAACATTATCTAGCCCATAATGATAACTTTCTTATTCAAGCTCTACCACCGCTTTTATATATATACATATGCATATTTAATTATGGACCCGTCTATAATTCAACATCACACGGGCTTCTCGATATATAGTTTTATACACACACACATGCACACTAATAAAAGAATGGGTATTTTTAATCTTTTTGATGGAGTTTTTGACACTACAATGTGTTTGGATTAATCAGTAAAGGGATTAATTCAGTTTAACTTTAACTAGAGATTTCGAGCTGTGAAGACTTGCCCGCAAGTTGTCCAAGAATTGAGATACCGAAAGTTGATAAATAAATTAAAAAAAAAAAAAGAGTGTTTGACCAGCTGATGCTATATGTATGATGTCTAAATGACAGCAAACGTAAAGCCCCCCCAAAAAAAAAAAAAAACAAAGAAAGAAAGGAGAGAGAAGAAGAAAAGCACTGTGACTTCACGTAATAATTGATTAGTTGGACAATTGGGGGAAAGAAAGATTAGGGCCACAAAATTAGCTACCATCACTCATTAATTAATTAATCTGCAAGAATCGTCACATGAAATCTCCAAGAAGAAACCAGATGGCAAATACATCATCAATTGGAAATGAAAAAACCCAAAAAAAAAAAAATACAATCCAAAAGGGAGGGAGGGGATTTTCTGTACTATCACATCACCGTCTTCTTCCTATGTTAAGAATCAATCAAAAATAAAAAGAAAGAATTTTTACAGTTCACATATGGTGGAAAGCATCAAAATTCGCGGGCGTTAGATCTTCTGACAGTGACGTTAACGGATAGGTGGCGGTGAAATCCACGGAGGTTTGATTCAGAATCTGGCCATCTTCTTCCCACGACGACGACCCTGTCGTCTTCATCATCAACTGATGATAATCTTCTTCGTTCTTCATCCCATTCACTTGAAACTGATACATTAATGGATCCATCATCAAGCCGTTATTACTGATCATCTGACACCCTCCTCCTTGAAAATAGCTGCTCAAGCTATTGCTCGAAATGATTCGCGAACCCGAATTGTTATCCGATGGCAACTGATCCGCCATGTAATTGGTGATCAGACCTGGTGGCATTATTGAGCACATATTGAATCCGAACTCAGACTGGTTTAAACCGCCCATTTGGAACTCAAATAAGGCCAACGGGTCGTAACCGTTATTCTCGAATTGGTTCGAATTATCACTTCCTGCAAGTGCTGATCCTTGTGATGATGATGATGAGAAGCCTAAGGAGGTCGATGGAGCTGAGACTGAGAACGGAATCTGCATAGATGGTAATAGAGTTTCTGAATGATCTGTGAGACTTTTCTTCTCCTCCTTTATGGTTGATTGATAAGGTTCTGTAATAATTAGAGGCTTGTGTGTGGTTGGGTCAATCCCTTGCTTCAGCAGCTTCTTCTTCAGACTTGAGTTCCAGAAGTTCTTTATCTCGTTGTCTGTTCTTCCTGGTAACTGTGATGCAATCTGAGCCCACCTGAAAATTCAAATGAAAATTAGTTATTAACCTCTGAAACAGAAGAGAATATATTCTTTTCCACAGCTATATATATATATATATATTAATTGCCTGTTGCCAAGTACTTCATGAAGACTGATTATGAGATCTTCCTCTTGCTGAGAAAACATTCCTCTCTTCAAATCAGGCCTCAGATAATTAATCCATCTCAGTCTGCAACTCTTTCCACATCTTTGTAATCCTAGAAATTAAAAACCATTTTGGAACATAAGTAGGAATGATCTGATGAAAGACACAAGAAATTAAACAGAAGTTTCTGGGTAAGTGAGTGAAAGAAGAAGAACAATACCAGCGAGTTTGGGAACAGAACTCCAGCAGCCAACGCCATATCTGGTAATGTAATTGAAGAGCTTCTCATCTTCTTCAGGGGACCACAGGCCCTTCCTCAGCTTTTGCTTTACACAACAGGAATGGCGACCCATTATAATTGATTACTCGTGCGAAGAACAGACAGACTCTGATGAAGTGGGGTTTTAATATGTGTGTGTCTATATATATAGTGGTTCTTTATATAGGGCCAAGCTTTCGTTGGAACAATAGTGCTTGTGTCATTGAGACGTTTCAATGGGATTGGAAAAATACACACACACACCGATAGATATATATATATATATATATATGATGTGGGAGAGCTGATGGAGGAGGAAGCTCAAGAGGTAATTGTGTTGATTTAAAGAGAAGAGGAATGAAATTATACTTAGGATTCAAGTTATGAGAGAGACAAGAGGGAGAGAGAAGGCTGTGAGGAAAGTGAAGCAATCAAGTGGATTTTACGCAAATCTGGTGCTGCTTTTGCCTCGGACTGGATTGGATTTTAAGATATCGCTATTTCTAGAAAATTATAATTAATTGATATATATTATATGTGCATGATATTTTCCCCTGAGAGCTTTTCTTAACAATAATAGACAGTACAATAAGTCATTTTTTACTTTCTCTAAAAAATAATTTTAATCAATCAATACTTAAATATAAATTTATGATAAATCATATTTTTCACAAGTCATAAACTAAACCCTTTGTGCAATAATTAATATTACAAGGCACTTCTAAGTAAATTACACCCCTAATGGATTAGTTACATATCTTTTATAAAATTACACACTCTTTTCATATTTATCCTTATTTAATAGAATATTTTATTTAAAAGACCTTATTAATTACACCCTTAATTAAGGGTATTTTTGAAAAAATCTCATTAATTTTACATTGTAAAACACAATGAATGTCTTATATTTTTAAACTTATTATCTCAAAAAAGTATCCTGTATTTTTTGATGGAGAGAGCATGATTTATTTCATAACCTTTATGCAATACATGGGATGACCACAAATTGGATTTATTTTTTATCAAACGGAACTAAACAAATAAGTGGATATTTTCCATTGATTAAAACCATAAAAATTTAACTTTTCATTTCATCTATCAAATTTAAAAAATATTTGGATTTAAAGACAAAAAAAAATATTTTCCATTGGTTAGCATTTTTTTAGAGAAAATGCTAACCTCACGCAATAAACAATTAAGTACTAACCTCATGTATGTATGTACGAACCTGTTTCCTTTGTCTTCTACTTTTGTGGTCTGAATTGTGACCTTCTCTCACACACACTAACATGAAAAAGATAAATGTTCTTAGAGTATTTCATACTAAACTGTTGATCTGTTGTTAAATTTTGCACGCCTGTAAATTTTAAAATCAAGCAATTTAAATTCTAAATAATAGCAGATATTTTGTAAATTAATAATATAAAAACACGTGTTTTGTATACATGTGGTGGAGATTGTCCATTGCCGTCAATGAGTGTATAGAAAACAAACGTTTGTGGAAGACAGTGAATAGTTGAACTTTAAGTCGGAAAGAATAGAGCGAGTAATAAAGTCAGAATTGATCATTAGTGAAAGGGGAATCATCGATTGATATTTGTGCACACTATCTAGTCAATAAGTAATTTTAGGAATTTGATTTTTTAAATAATTGAAATTATTAGAAAATTTAACATTTTAAAAAATGTTAATTATTCTATTGAGGATATCTAAGCAAGATAGTTAATAATCCCTCATGCAAAATTACGTCATCCGCGTGCATGCATCAGTGTTTTAATATTGAGAGAGTAAAAATCAATGTTGTAAAAGCTGGATCAGATGTTAAATTGGAAAAGTTTTCAATTTTTATGGTTTAACTAGTTAAATCAGTGGTTGGACTGGTAATGTAATAATTAAATAAAAATAATATTAAATATATCTATAAAATAAATATAAAATATATAGTATATTAATAAAACGTGACCATAAATTATCAATATTATACATTTTAATTTTATAACTTGTTAAATATATGTGAATCTTGGTTAAATTATATATGAATAGATTCAAAAGTTTTTACATTTACACCTATAATTGTCAACATTTTTATAAAAAAAAGTTTCAAATCATATTTTTTATATGTAAATTGTCAAAAAAAAAAAGATGACTTTTAGTAGGATCTAATTTTTTAATTTTTTAAGATTTTTTTAATATTATGTTTAAAACTATTTGCTGTTTTAAAAATTGTTCGAGTTCTCTTTTTAACTCTGGTTTCTAGCTTAAATATATACTTATAAAAGGAAACATTAATTGACATCCCTGTTGATTAAGATATAAAGTATATACACCCTATATATAATATATATGTTAAGCTTAAAAATGTTAGCTTAAAACTAATCATGACCTCATAAGTTAGCTTTTCTTTTACTGTAGCTCAGACAACTTTATTTCATCCCTGTTATGTCATTCTAAACCATGTGACACATGTGAACCTAAAAGAACAAAAATATACTAATAATAATATCATTAATATTATCGTCATTATGCTAGAAAACTAATGCGTTACACAACAATATTTATAAACTATCCATATTTTTTATATAATATGCATAGTTTTTTTTTATAAAAAATATCGAATGAGTTGTGATTATGCAAATAATGAAAAAAGGATTTATTAATATTTGGCATGGAGATTTCATTATATTTGATTGACCTTAACTTATAGAAAAGAATAAAAATAAGTCTAAAAAGAAAAAAGAAATGGCTGGTATTGAGAGTGTGTACATGCATGAGTGTGGCGGAGAGGAAAGAAAGAAAAATATAGGAAAAGGGAGTCTCTTGGAAGGTGTTATAAGCAGAGGAAGTGCAATGCATCTGAATTAATTTCTAGAAGACTCAAACATATAATTGAGACGCAGCTACTTGTGTCGGTTGATTTTGTAATTAATAGCACGCTCACAAAAATAACAACACACACGCACTGGTGTGTGTGTGCGTGTCTACGAATAATGACTTTAGATTGTAAAATTATTGTATTCATGTGTCACTTTAACTCGCGTAATTCAAGTGTTATATCATAAAATCCATATTAAAAAAATTAGAAAAAGTCACAATAATAAAAAATTATAAATTAACATAATGAAATTCATCATGTCAGACTACAGGTAAAATACAGGTCAGATTTTATTTTATGTAACTTAATAATTTTACATGACTACTTTATTATTTTATTTCCTTTTTTTAATTATTGTATGAAATCATGTTATAAAACATGCCCCCTCCATCTCTGTTTAGAAGACAAAAAGATAATTTAGTGCCTCAAAATATAAAATAATTTGACAAAAATAAATTTTATTAACTATACTTTTTAAATATTACCCTTCAATTTCTTTCATATTGTATTTTCTCTCTCTTTATTTAACTTTTCACAAATAAGATTATATTAAATAAAAATTATTTTTAAAATTTTATATTTTTATTTTGAAAAAATAAGATTGTAAAATGTATTTAATGAACTTTCTTTGTATGCATAATTTTATCTAAAAGTAGATTATAAACTGGAATGGAGGGAATATAGAACTAGACATGAAGCTTAATTTCATTCTAAACAAGGATTTATTTTTTTTATTTCACTTTAAATTTTTAATAAAAATTAATATTATATCTATTTCAAAATAAGAAAAAATCGAATATCAGCGTGTAATACCTAAAACATCATGTATGAGATTATTAAAGGCATCGTGGCAAAGCAATAATATAATATACGCTGTACGTGTAAAACGACACAACGCTTAAACTGCTGAACTTTTTCTGAATAAATATTAATTTTGGCTTAAAATATAAGTTATGTAGACATTGTTTTAAATAAGAAAGATTCTTTTTTTCTTTTTTAATTACACGTGGGAACAAATTAAGCCTGATACGCAAGCAATATATATTGAACATTTTTTTCCCCCACACAGTTAGACTTTATGATGCGGGTTTGTTGTCAAATGTCAACAAAATTCAGTGTTAGATGTTTGATTAATTAGTTTAGATGGGAAAATATTGTATTCGATAGTACTCTGCCCATTTTTTAAATATATTTATGTCTCTTTCTGCTGAAAAACGGACCTGATAAATTAAAATTAATTGCATTGTATAAAAATCTACGGTTTAAACTTTAAAACAAGAGAAATGGAGAAACAGGACGCCAAAAATTTCTCATTTTCACATACAATTGTCAAAGAATTGAAGGTAATTTCCGTAGTATCACAATCGATTAGTTGAATACAATGATTTTTCTTTTGGTTGTTTTCGGAGAAGAATTGTTACAGAATAAATAAAATCAAACAAAAATAAATAAACGAGTGATTTGCAAGCATGAAGCCTTTGGAAGATGTGAAAGAAAAAAGCATCTTTATGTTTATAGTTTAGTGAAACATGAAATACAAAAAAGTACTTTAGAAAAAAAATAAATAAGAAAACACCTAACCGGGTTCGTATCTAGAGAAAGATTAAGACTTAATCATCAGAGCGGGGAACAGAATTTGACCCGAACAAAAAGGAAAAGAAAAAAAAAAGCGGGGAACAGAAGTAAAATAATTAAGCAAAGCCATTAATTATATTATATGACGGAAAGGATTCACGTACGACGAATTGTGCTTTTGTGAATTTTTACTTTTGACTTCACCCAAATGAATCAATTAAAGTTGCACATTCGCGTGCTTCGCGCCTTTTATATATATATATATAGTAAGACAAGATGCACATTGTGCACTTATATATATTTGGTCCAAGTTCTGCCTGCATATCATATTAATAAAAAATAATAACATTAATAGATAAATTAATGGAAAATTTTTTTACTCTTTAAAAAAATAGTTTAAAAAAATTGTCCTAGAGTGCCTAATGTTTATTAAAAAAAAATTTAAAGATAAAAATAAATTTTAACTCTCATTTTTTGCCAACAAGAGTTAAGTTTCATGGTCGAAAGAAGTTAATTTATCACAATATGTTAAATCATTATTTAAATTTTTATTATAAAATGTATTCACATTTAGAGCGCAGTGGTGCCTTGAACAAGATTATATCAAATAGAAAGACACAATTGCATAAACAAAGAAAAAGAATTTATTTTCTATATGACTATATGGCTTAATCAAATTGGAATGTTGTCTAGCTTAATTGGGAAAATATTTTGCAAAAGTTATTTTAGCGCTATATTATTTTGAGGGCGAGATTTTGAATCTCACACGGGAGAATTATGTATGGAGTA